CCCCAAAACCCCAAAACCCCAAAACCCCAAAACCCCGAGGGAATATTAAATCATTGAGTTGATAAGATTTTAATGGATTATAGATTTTGATTTTTCCTAATTAAAGCCATCCATGGTGCTTAGCGACTCTTTCAAATGCTGCTCTTGCTTCATGAATAGAGTAGCTGTGTCCTATTCTTTCCCTGTCAAGTCTGGCACCTCCTTGGAGGATAATACTAAGAATTTCAATGAAAATTCCTTCAATGGATCTTGCTGAAGACCATCCGGATGGAGTAAGACTTTCCATACAGAGAGATCCTCCGATGGTTACATGCCCTGTATGAAACTTGAAAATCGGCTGGACCACTCTGATAAATGGGGGATCGAATGGGAAAGAAGATGAGAATATAACTTCAAATTGTAAAGTTGGGTCTCTTCCACTTTGATCTTTCGCCCACTCGAAATCTTTCTTCAGATCAGCAGTGAGTTCAAACTTGAGGATATCAAGCACCACATTCCACTGATAGAAGTTATCACCCTTGAACTTAATTTCAAAATTCTCTATATCAGTGGAAGTCTGAAAGTGCTTGTACTCTTTAAGGATCCTCTTAGTGGCTGTGACACTACCTTTTCCTGTAAACTTGTTCTCTAATTTCTCTATCTTTTCATCACATTTCTTCTCTTCCTCTTCTTTCTCTCTTTCATCGAGTTGTTGTTGGAGTCTCTCCTTCATTACCATTTCTTCTTCGTACCTAGTCTTGGCTCTTTCGTGCGCGGCTTTTAGACGGAGGCTCCTGGAATCCATTTCTTTATCCTGGATTGATTTCACTGTGCTGTAGTATTTGCCTTTGAAGTCAAGTTTATTAGACATCAAGCCTGAGAGATTGCTGGAGGAGACACCACCACTTGGGATAATCCAGATGTAACGAAGCTTTATACAATCATCATCAGGACAGACTACGATGTCATAATCTCCGGTTTTGTTATATTTACTGCTCTTTATAATTTCAAGTACTCCAATTATTCACTTTGATTTGATAGTGCAGTGCTTCCAGCTTGGTGCACTAGTAACCCCACTTCCTGTGTTGTTGTATGCTCCTCTGTTATAAGAGTATCCACTAGCTGTATTGTAGGCTTTAGCTGAATATACACCTGCGCCATGGGCAGCTCCAGCTGTCATCATTTTAGTATTAGAAAGATTCCTTGGCCCATTTCTCAGTATGCTGTACCAATTCTCAATAGAGCTACCATGGAAGGTCCAAACTGTTCCTAGCTTAGATTTGAGTTTTTGGAATTTGTTCTCATCATGCACCTCGTTGTTGTAAAGAATGTACTCATCTACCTCAGGTGCCCCACTGCATTTGTCACTCTCACCAAGCTTCTTCATGCTAGCACGATTTGTTGTGATAAGATACTGTAGAAGCTTATAGATCGCTTGAGAATCTCCAAAATCCTTAGTTGCCTTTTCAATAGTTTTGAGGAGTACTTGGTCATCAGCACATTTGGAAATGCATCTTTCAACAGAAGGAACAAATTTGAACAAGCTCCTGATCTTCTTAATATCCTTATTGGATTCTTTCACTTCTTTGGCTTCTCCTCCTTCTTCTCTTGCCTTAACTATGTTATCTAGGTATCCTCTTTTGGAACGAAATTCTTGATCCTTAAGGAAGAAGGAAGGGAAGGGCTCAAACGTCTTGTTTACTCGACCACCCATTAAGCACTCACTGAATACAGAGAGGTTGAGAGAAAATGCGTTTGGATCTCTCTTGATTTCAGGGATAATAGAAATTCCTTGGGATTCCTCAAATGAAAATTCACATAACTCTTTTTGTCAGCATCTAATTGTATTAGCTTTCGTAGACAATTTGTCTCTGCAGATACAGCAGTAATCGGGGATACTATCCAAGGAATACAGAATATATCTGAAGTAATTCAGCAGTGAGTTCTCTTGTAGGTCCTTAGTTGTAATGTTAGAAAATAACTCAAGTTTTGGGTCTCCTTCAAATGTCATTTCTCCATCGACCTCCATCTTTGTTTCCTCAGAATGTTTCTTCCTTCCCAAAAGATAATTGATGGCATTACCAAGGCTGAATTTGTTTTTCTTGAGAGCTTTATCTGACTCAGAACTTGAAAATCCCATGTCAAGGAGGGTTGCCTTGCTTTCACTTAGTTCATCAACATCTATCGACTTGACTTCCTCGGCTATAGTTTTTCCTTTTCCCTTTTTATTGAAAAAGCTTTCGTGAAGCATCTGGAGATAGATCTTATATCTTGCTTGTATATTGTCATTTCCCATCTGGGAGAATTCGATCTTTAAAATACCTAAGTTGAGCAGCTCTTGAAGATCCTTTGTAGATAATGTAGGATCATCTCTAAACATTAGTAGCTTGTTGTCTTCCATAATAAAAAGATATTCGACCAACTCTTCCATCTCAAATCCTAGTGACTCATAGATTGTTGCTGGAAGTTTCAAGAAATTCAGATCTATCGTCAGTTTGATCATTAGCAGTGGCTCGAAAATTTGGACTGAGAAGGAGTTATTTAGCTTAGTGAGATGCTTCTCCATTAACTTTTTCAACTCATAGGCATTTTTAGTAAGGATAGACTTCTTAAACAACTGGATACTCTCTTTATTTCCAAGATGAATGTTGTATTTTTGTATCTGATCATTTACTGATGAAGATTGCTTTTGCATTGAAGGTTCTTCTGCTTCATCTTCATATTCTTCATCGGACCACCCAGCTGCCATTTCTTCGTCATCTTCTCCCTCACCCCAATCTGCTTCTTCTTCATCATCGTGGACGTCATCTACGTCTCCTCTATTGAGTCCTCCTGGAGAAGCAGATTTTTGCTTTAGATCTTGTAAAGTGCTGACAAAATGTTCTAAAGCACTAATAGCATTCATAGAAGGATCATCCATAGCTTCAAGGATCCCATTTATTTGCTCTACAGTCTCTTGATCTTGATCAGATTCAAAATAGAAGGCGTAGCCATACTTGAAAAGCCACTTTGCAGATCCTTTCCTAAATCTAAACTCAAAGGTATTCTCTTCAAGATCCTTCTGCACCTCCCCAAACTCCATTCCTAACCTATCCATCTCTTCATTATTAGAGAACCACCAGTCTGTAATTTCCTCTTCTATATTAGTCAAGTCGAATGCTTCCATTATTCAATAATTATTCCGAAGGAAGGGGTTTTGGGGTTTTGGGGTTTTGGGGTTTTGGGGTTTTGGGG